GGAGGTGAAGGAAGCAGCACACTTGGCGAGAGATCCAAGCCATATTCTCGAGTTTACTTTTATCGGTAGTAAACCTGGTCTTGTGACCTCCATATGTCTGGCTCCTATATCTTGGTTCTCATTTCAAAAGGGAAAGATAGGTGTGTTGTTAGTCTCCTACCACACCTATGTTATCATAGAGGTATAGTTTGGAGGAAGATATGCTGGTAGGAGAGAGACAAAAAGATAAGAGGCAACAAAATGAAAAAGAAAATGTGGCCAGGGTCATAGCTCTGCGAAGTCCCCAAAGTAGAAACTCAGGATGCAGGGATTGGGCTTTGGCTCTGTTCCTGCCAGTGTGGGGGCTGCAGGGCAGCTGAGGTCCACAAGAGAAGGCTCGTGAAGCATGGGCTTCACGTGGGACAATTTCAGACAGGCTGCAGACAGACCCTTCTTAGCCTTGCTATAAGAAACACTTCACCTCTCTCCATTGCCAACTCAAGGTGAGATTTAGGCAACTCTGGATGTGGGGCTTTTGTACCTTGAAAGAGTCCGATGTCATCTGTGTGTCCAGCTTCCAATGCAGCTTTGACTTTTCTTATGTCCCAATATTTGTGATAGAAAAACGGGGACTATAACTCAGTATTTCCCAAAGTATGGTATGCATGCCAAGGTGTACGTTATGAATTTATTTTAGTATATAGGAAAAAACTATGGTTAACTTGTTAATGACAAATTATACTGCTTTTCCATTGATGGTATCAATATGAAGTTTGACTCTACAGATTAATGTTAAAAAGATATTTTAGAGAAAATACGAAAATATTCCACATAGTACTTGAATATGGTAGAAATTGTGAAGGTTGTCTGTAAATGATGGAAGTCTGGGGTAGTTAAAAGTAATGTGGAAAGGATCACTAGATATCCAAAATATGCATTGCTTTTTAGGCATTATTAATAGCAATGTTGGATCTTTCTAACCATGATGAAATCTAGGATTTGTGAATTCATATATTACGTGATTCTTTTAGAAGTTAATTATAATCACACAAAGTTCATCTCCAATTCAATTTTTTGGCTTCCAAATTGACATATTGTGACGTGTACTGAAGTCTTTAACTGGCCTTAAAATTACATATACACAACAGAATATTACTTGGCCATAAAATGAAATACTGCCATTTGCGACAACATGGATAGATCTTGAGATTACCATGCTAAGTGAAATAAGTCAGACAGAAAAAGTTGAGAACCATATGTGGGATATAAAACTGAAAGCAACAAATGATCAAGACAAAGAAACAAAAACTCATAGACACAGACATCAGTTTAGTGGTTACCAGAGGGTAAGTGGGGAGGGGAGGTGATAGAAGAGAGAAAAGGGGATCAAACATATGGTGATGGAAGAAGAACTGACTCTGGGCGGTGAACACACAGTGCAATATAGAGATGATATATTATAGAAATGCACATTTGAAACCTATATGATTTTACTAACCAATGTTACCCCAATAAATGTAATTAAAAAATGAAACTGGAAAAAAAGTACCAAAAATTAAAACATAATGGTGGATATATGATCAATGTATACTTTTCACCTTTTCTTTATATTTAAAAATGTTCATAATAAAATGTTGATGGAAAAAGGCACTAAGGCACCGTCTTTTATGTATTGTTTGGTTGGTTTTACAGCTGTTTTGATATTAAGTACAGATCAAACAGTCATAACCTTCGACAGACTGCACTTTATGCTCTGACATTTCTTATCTACCAGTTTAGACAAGCTGTTTTCACTTACTTAATGATTCAAACTTGCTCTTAGGTTAAAAGGTGGGTTTTACAATGGCTATGGTGGGGGGAAGAGGGGGACAAAAGTTAGACAAGAACAGATGCAACAGGCTGGCAACCGCCACCCCTTTTCTTGAAAAACGGTCAAGAACAAGGGGTCACTGTTCAATATCTTCAGCTGTGAAAAAATGTGAGCTGCAGGCTTGCTGTCTCATAACTTTCACAAAAACATCTTGAATGCGAGGGACTTTCGCTTTTGATTTAATATCCATTATACTTTTCTAAAGTTGGAATTTTCAAACTCTCCTTGAAAGTTTAGTTTGAAGAGTAGAATTGCCAGTCTAAGTAGGTAGCACATTGAGGCCAAAGCCAAGTTTGCACTACAGAAATACCTCCATTAAGCAAAAATGAGAAAGATGAACTCAAATGACTTAAAAGCATGCCAATGGCCTTATCAAACAAATAAGGATTAAGTGAGCCCAAGTCGGCGACAATATTTAGGCATTTTTCTCACTTGCTTAAAACAAACCCTTGACATTGAGAAAAAGAAAAATATTAAACGTAGCATCACTCTCCCAAAGTGGCCTCTGCTATTCTATTAAGAGTTCTATTTATAGAGTTCATTGAACTTGATGAAAATATTTTCTTTTAATAAGATGAAAAATAGGTTTTCAAGTTCTAGCAAAAAGTGCACACTAAAGTGAATCAGGCCAAAATTAAGAGGACATTTTTTTGGCTCACAATCTTTGTAAAGAAACAAATGATACATTTTAACAAAAGCATTTTAGAAATGCACTTTTTCATACACATATTTAAATAATTGTTTCTACTGAACTCTGCAGCAAAAAATTACTACAAAATTTACCAACCCAGTTTTTGTCACTTATTTTCCTAAGTCCATTCTAGTTCCAAAAGAAACACGTCATTAAAAAAACGGGAAAAATATATATACATATATATAAATAAATAAAAT